CGTCACACGACCTCTGCCTGGGTTGTGCCTTTAGTGATCCCTACATCGCTGATCACCTCTACCTTTAATTTCTAATGGGCTATCTTTTCCGGATATTCCACCTTTAGCGAAGCCTGTACTTCAAGAAATTGGTGGGTGTGTAGCGTTTCTTCCCACCGTACACCATCCGTCTTCCTGTGACCAAACTTATTGCTAGCAAATACGCGTGGCAATTACCTAATTGTAAGGGTTTTGTCGCGTAGTTTTGTCAAGTGCGGGAAGCGGACGACTTGCGTTGCGAGTGACAGGGACAAGCGCGGCAATGTTTGCTGGATTTCTGATGAGAAAATTGTCGTCATGCTTTTGTGCAGCCGTGTGGCGACATTAAATGTGTTCTGTTCAAGGTCAATGGTTGCCAGTTGACCTCAGTCTACGATCTACGCGAAGGCGAAGAGGGATCGGCCGATTTCTACGATGATGACTGGGCTTTCCGAAGGCCGAGGAGTAACAGTTCGGTAAGTAAAGTATATGCAGGGTGTTCCATAAATATTACACCACATTTATCCGCGTGAAACTCCGCTCGAACCGGAACGTCTTCGAAACGCGCGCAATGCAATGCATAAATGAGCGATATTTATCAGATATCTCCCTGTCGCGCAGTATGGCTCTGAGTTGCCCAGATACAATCCCTCTGTAAGCCACAAACCCTGGAATATTCTCCCCTTACTCTACCCTTACCTTGCGGAAAGCAGCGTTTCGGCTTCGTCGTAGGGATGCACTGCTTACAGCAGCCCTTTCTTTTTCAAAGGGCAAGCTACACGAGAAAGTCGAGGTTTTACGTTTCACAGTGAAAAGTATGCCCAACAGCCTAGCAAGGCGTACCCGCACCGCCTACCCTCTCGAGGCCTGACCCTACACGTCAAGCGGAGAGAGCATTAGCATTGAAGAGGGCAGCAACGATGAGAATCGTATTAGCGTGGAAATTGACGGAAGAGGAAGCGTCTCATTCCGGTGTGCCGTTCTCATGGTTTCATCTTCTTGTTGGCACCACGACATTAGGCCTAAATACTCCCTGCTCGAAAAACTGAAAGATCGACGATTTCTCCTTAAAGTGTGTAGTCGCCCCTAAATATCCACAACTATGTGATGGTACGGATTTTTGATCCCTTTTCAACTTATACCGTCGAGAACGCCCAGAAAAGAAGACTCATCAATCATGGTAAGATTGGCTGCTGCTTGCGGAAAACAATCCCTTTTTCAGTATTCTCCTCAGGGCTTTGATAGAACACTTTTGAAGTTTAGCGGTTTCCCTCCATTTACCTCAAATGCTCCTTCATGACGGTGATTTTAGGACTTCTTGATTCTCCGGAAAACATCACGCCCGCTATCGGTCGACGTTGTTGGTCTTGTGGGTAAGTAGTCTTGTCAGCTTTGTCATTTTTTTCTTCAGTTTTCTTGATCGTTAGTAAGCCAGCGAAACTCTCTAAAAGACGCTGTAAGCACAAAGGAAATCGTCGAATCGTGTCTCATAACATTGTCAGACTTCAGAATAATCACACCAAGAAACTTGTCTTTCCTTTCGCATCACTGACTTCAAAGACCGCAGCCACTAAGCTAGAGAGCGGTGCGGCTGCTTGCTGCTCAGAGGTGCAGCAGCGATAGAATTTTCAGAAAATGGCTTGGAACCCACAAACCGCAACCCTTGTTTCCACCGTTGATTTTTGGACGAGCCTTACCGGTGTCGACGTCATTATTGTGAACGGTCTGCACGGGCTGGGACACGCAATTCTTTGAAAAGATTGATAGAGCCCGTCGCTACAGGCTCTCCCGTCCTGAGAGCTTCTGTGAGAGCGCCACCTCTTGCTCGCTCAGGGGCCCCAGTCTCCCACCGCAGCATTACATGAAGCATCCATTTCCTCTTCTACGACAATCAGTTTATCGTGTCACCTGCCTCTAAGTTCCAGAAAGATTACTACTACTTTTTTTTAGAGTATTACTATTTTTATTTTCAGAGTCCCAGTCCGACCCGTATCGACAGTACATGAGGGTGGTAGACTGTTATGAACTTTCGCCCCAATCCGGAAATGTTATAGTTCTTGACAAATCTATCAAGGTATTTTTGAAAGTGATCCTACTTTTTTTTTCTTCTTTTGAAGCTTCGCATGTTTAAGGGCCCATTTGTACATTTCGGCAGGAATCATCTCTCCAGCTTACCAAAATCGAAAACGAATACCTACATTCCCGTGACAACAGCTTCCTCTCTCTAAACAGAGAGAGATCTTTCAAGGGCAAGGGCGCTTTCGAAAGGTTCCAGTGCATGTTGTGGGACGCCCATGTATGGACCACAAAAACCATGTTTCGTTTTTAGTAGTACCAAAAAGTGGTGAATAATACTCGATGGTTCAATCCCCCGCGGCGACTAAATTTTGCAATCAAGGTTGGCGGCCACTTGTTGGCTTCAAAATGGTCCTGACGATGAATTTGACATCTGATTTTGATATTTAGCGCGATTTGGCACCAAACCGTAGGCGCCAACCCAAATGCAAAATTTAGTCGCCACGGGGGATCGAACCCTTAAGTACCTTGTATGGACCTTTTGCGACTGCGCGATTCGCTAGCGTCTGCGGTCGCGTCGCGGCCAGTGAATCACTCAATTGGCTGGTACCGCAACGCGACCGCGGACGCTAGCGAATCGCGCGAATCGCGCGATTCGCAAAGTCTGACATCGAACAGTACCTTATGCTTCTTTTTTGGTACTGCTATAACCGTTCAGCGAAAATGAAACATGGTTTTGCGTTCCCTACATGCGTCCCTACAATATGCACAAAACCGTTTTGAAAAGCGCACCTTGCCCTGAAAGACCTCCCCTTGTCAGACGTTTAGGTTACTCAACTAGTGCTTCGAAAATTCATGAGATGGCACCATTTCTTTTATCAAAACGCCAACACATTGACATTCCATTCTGTTGATTTCACTCATTTTCCAGGTCGACAGAGCGTTCTCGGCTCTCTGTGAACAAAATGTGCGTGCTGGTTTGGTGTGGGATGCCTCTCAGAGACGAGTAAGGGTTACAAAGTTATTATTACACTTGGGCATTTTTCTGCTACTTCAAATGATACCTTATCCGTGAAACCGTATTATATAAAGTAGTTAACAGATTATTTCGAGCCTACTTTCAAAAACGATTTTTCTCATTTTCGATTATGGAGATCTCTGTCGTTAAATTCGCGGATAGAGTCATTTTTAGATTACATCCATCGTAACTTTGACTGACTTCCTGAAGTATCTACGCGAAGATGCGTCCCAGTGTACTCAGGTGAGATAGGCGACCTCATAACCGACAACTCGTTGGTCACCGTGTTTGCAGATATGAAGTGAGTAACTCTGCTTAGTTTACCTAACTTTTTCACTGAAATTTTTTTATCTTTTTTTCACATCTTGTAATTGTTTCTTGTAAGGTAGATTCTACGATAAATTGGGGTCGAATAAAGGAAATATACCTACTAAAAAGAGAGCTAGCCTCCTCCCCACCCTCCCCCCCTCCTCCAAGAGCGACATTACTCAGTGAAGGGTACGCCGCCAGGGCCATACCGGCGGTGCGCGCAGCTCTACTCCGCCCCGCTGGCTAGCTACATCTTCGCCGTCGGCTCTAGGCCGGGGTGTCGTAGCTTTTCACCAAAAGGGCAGAGCCAAGCTCACCGCTTGGGGCAGCCTCAATGATACTCGCTCCTACGCGGAAATCAAAAAGAAGAGAGGGTCCCATTTCAAGGTTTCAGAGCCCTTCCCTTGTATTTTTCTTCTCCTCGTAAACACATGGCCGCCCTCTACCTTCATTTTCAATAGGCAATCAATTTATCGTGAACTGCCTTTGTGCGGAGGTCGTTGTAATGACAAGAGAAGGGAAAAAATTTGAGAATATTCAGAGTGATCGAAGCATGCGAGCAATTATGTCTACATCGCGTGCATCGTATTATCGTTCGGGAACCTCAATCAGGAGATATTCTTTACCTTCTAACAATAAAACGGGTACTTCAAGCTATACATAAACAGGTTTGTGTTGTTTTTTTTTGTTATGAACGATGGGCTCGGAAGTCATGCCGAAACTGATTAACTACAGAATACGCGGTGAGAGTCCACAGCTTCACGAGTATTATGATGCGAATTGAATACAATTTTGGCGCACTGTGCTCTGGAGAAGTCGCTCTCCTCTCAGGCTCAGGCTGGGACTTAAACCTCACATTGAAGGGTTCTGTCAGGGTCTTGACGTAGCACGACAGATTGTCCTCTCTAGTCGGACATGCTGATCTTCTGCAACCGTCAGGACTAACAAACCTCTCAGTTTCAATCTAATACTTTTCGTGGGCTCCCTCAGTCTTCCAAAGGGCCAGTGGGCGGGGCGGATTATACTGGTTCTGTGTTTAGTGATTTTGGCAAGCCCTCTGATTCTTCAGCCCGGTGCTAAGTATGAACACGGAGGAAATGCAAAAAATTGATGTCGCGATTTCTCCTTCATCGACTATAATCAGATTGATTTTTAAATGTTTATTTGCAGAATCGTTCGTTACATTTTGCTCAGTGGTTGAGCAGTCCTATCAAGGAATCGGGCGTAGGCACGTGGGAGAGTACAATACATTCGGTAAGCTGTTTTCGTAATTGAAGACCTGCAGTGCGTGTGTGCGAGACAGTCGCGCAGTTGCGACACGTCGAAAAATCAGGATCGTCCCTTGCGTGGCGAGAAGGTAGAGACGCAGAGAGTCAGCGGACGAGTCTCAGCGCGTGCTGTGATGGATGACATGTACTATAGTTCATTCTTCATTCTATTTAACGATGTGAAGCAATTGATGTGATTTCTAAATCCGGAATTACTGAGGCACGCGCACATGCGCTCCGCCTGACACACCCCTGCCTTCTCGCGGCGCGACGAGCCTCTTGTCGGGCACCTCTTCCAAGATGGCTTCGCCTGGCAGCCATCTCATTTACTGCCTTGGACATTTTGACATAATCTAAAGCTTTGATTCGAAAGTTTTTTACCGTTCAGGTTTCACTTGAAGATTGTTTGAACGACGTGGTCGAAAAGCTACTTGGACATCATTTATCGTCACTTCCGGTGATCAACTCAGATGGGCAAGCAATCGATGTGGTTACTAAATCCGATTTAGCTATGGCTTTGATAGATATGAACGCTCATCAGGTGAGATCTCTGGGACTATACGCACAGCTTCAAGTGTCACCTCTTCTCTTACAATTGGGACCACTTTTTGAACTCTCCGCAAAACGAGTATCGTTCCGAGTGTATTGGGTTGGTCGAAAAGGCACGGTGCTGGGTCGTAGGAACATCTCTAGTACTAGGCCAATTGTGTAGAAGTAAGAACGAAAAATGTCAGCACTTGAATTTCTGTCCCTTCCGAGGCTTAAACTCGAAACTGAGCGTTCAATCCTGACCCAAAGTCACGGACTGTACCCTCTTCCTCCTCCCAACACAGCCATACTGGGCCGTGAAAAAAAAGTGGTGACGCTCATCTATGTGCCAGAGATCACGATGGCTATGGTGAGACGCAGTTCTAGATTGATTGATTCGATCTTTCATAACACTTTAACGATCAATGAATAAATTAGCGGTAGTGAACATCCAACACAGCTTATTTTACGGCGCAGTTTCGGAAGAGATTCCATTTCGGTGATCAATGACTTCCTCGTTGGAATTCGAAGAAAGAATAAATTCTGCGATAGCCTACAAACACCGGCTAACAGATCAAAGTGATCCATGGAAAATTCCTACAGCATGTAAGTGAACAATACGCAAGCGACATTAGTTGGAACTTAAAACAAATAATGTAGTCCTCACCAGCGGTCTGTCCATCGTTGTTACCTTGTCGCGAAAATTTTTACGACCCTCCACCATCTCCATCTTCCATCAAAACCCCGCCCACTTTTTCCTCCAAAAATGCCGTCGAGCGGGGGTATATATAGTCACTCTGAAACGGTAAATATCTCCGAAAATTTCCTTCTATTTCCACCATTTCAACCCATTTTTTACCTATACTCCCACTACTTCCTTTTCTAGGCGGAGTATATACGCGCGCTGAAACGAAGCGACCCCCCCTCCTACAAACTCAACCAGGTACGACCCCCCCCCCGTTGTTACTCGTAACAACGTAGGGTTGACCCTGGTCCCCACAGTGGCTGGTTGACGTTCACCGCATCGTGTTAGTGGTAAAAGGGCAAGTTCATCCCAGACAGGAATTCAGAAAATTGGGCCTTTTCATGCTCGTAGGCCTTCTTCATGAAAGATTCTTGTGCTCTAGCCTGCAATCGGAGTTGTCTCGATTTGATTTCAAACGTGTATGCGGCTGCTCTTGTTACCGTAGTTTTGGCTACCTTAAGATTTTGGTGGGATAGAGAATAATGAAGAATGGAGAGAAAAGGTAAATAGTTTTCCAGAACGATTGGCTAGCGTCGAAACTTCGGAGAGGGCGGGGGGGGCGGAGGAATTCTTTTCAGAGAAATTATTTCCACAAAAACTTCACCAAGTACTCGGAAGCTTCGTTGTTTTTACCGTTTCTGTTACATTACGTATACCTATCCCCAATTAAGAAGTGTTTCACCAACAATCTACTTCTCTTGTTTGAAAAACGGTTATACTAACAGTCTCCAAAACGGGGCTTCCGTTCCCCATTTTTTATGCGATTCTCATACGTATTACAAATTACAACTAAACACGTCTGACCTAGTTTGTTTCATTCGTTCTGGATTTTTCCACTTCTCATTCGTACAGCGAATGTTAGGCCGCGCTTATAGTTCGCGATGCGGGAGATTGAGATAGTATGGCCGATAGGGTATAAGGATAGTAATAGAATAGGATATTGCGCTCTGTCAACGCGGCATTACTGTATATGGATTCCGAAAGGAGGGCTGAGTCACTCGAGAGTCCTCTACAAGTGGATTACGTGACTACTTGAACTCTCGCCCTGTGTTCTCTGCTGAGAAAGGCTAGAGCACAGACGACCAGAGAACGGCGCCTGGCTCGGCTCCAAATCTAGAGCAGTAAGGTGTGAGCCTTAGGACTAAGCCTTGGAGGGAGGAGGGGCTCTGGAGTGGGTGTGTCAATCATATTGTGCAAAATTTGAATGCATCAGATCACAGTAACCATAAGCCGCTGTTCAGGCGAGAGAGCGCAGGCGAAGGCATCAATTCGAAGCGGTTTAAAGGGCCGAGTTCAAGTTGTCCGTAGACCCTACCAAGTGGCGTCCTTTCAGGGCAGCCCGCTTTGGCGAAAACGGTTCCTTGCATATTGAGGGACGCATGTGACTCCAAAACCATGTTTCGTTTTCGCTGTACGGTTTTAGTAGTAACCAAAAAAGTGGTGAATATACTCTTGATGGTTCGAATCCCCCGCGGCGACTAAATTTTGCAATCAAGGTTGGCGGCCACTTGTTGGCTTCAAAATGGTCCTGACGATGAATTTGACATCTGATTTTGATATTTAGCGCGATTTGGCACCAAACCGTAGGCGCCAACCCAAATGCAAAATTTAGTCGCCACGGGGGATCGAACCCTTAACAGTACCTTATGCTTCTTTTTTGGTACTGCTAAACCGTTCAGCGAAAATGAAACATGGTTTTGTGTTCCTATACATGCGTCCCTACAATATGCAAGAAGCCGTTTCAAAAAAGCGTGGCTTGCCCTGAATGACCCCCACCCCTCTTGTTAGGGGGAATCGATGTCACCCCCTCCGCTTTAGAATACCATACACTAGTAACATCCACTGTACGAGTGAGAAATGGAAAAAAGAAGGCACAATAACTTCAGAAAAATACAGACGTGGCTTTAGACCTGCGGCGTAAGACGCTACACTAAGAAAAAACCGAACTCAGGGCGACCATAACACATAGGACCTGAAGTCGGATATGACCCGCCTGTCCCAAAATCACAAATACGACTCTCAACTTGGGAGTTTCCCTACAGACGCTTTACCTTGGCTACATAGTTGCTCAAGTCACTTTATTTCAGCTCACTTTTCAGACCTTCTTCGCGGACACCACCGTCGGGACAGTGCTCGGTCACCGGCCACCAGCAGTATTTGTTCGTCCAAACGATCCTGTCGGTAAAGTGCTTGACGTGCTGCTCGAAGCACACCACATGCGTTGCGTGTTCATCGTCGACGATCACATAACGCCAATCGCATGCGTTTCACAATCGGATGTCATCTCACATTTGATCTACGACGAAGTGCCATTCCAGAAGCAGAAGTCACCGTCGTTAAATTCATAATATCCACAATCAGTGGTTGAGGTCAGGTGCTCACATATCAGACGTGGCTGCTTCGTTCTCCTCTCTCTCTCGCTTTCGCTTTGCTGTTCATGACTTCCACCATTTGGATATGCAGGTCTCGTTTTGTACAGTGATAACTAGGGCTTTGTACAGAGTTTATTTTCATATGTGCATGGAGAGTTATTCGGCACTATTCACTATTTACAACCCTATGGAAGGATTTCGAATAATGTTGGGTTTCATCCAGTAAGGGGGGCATGTGGCACGATAGTTGCCGCCAGTTACAGGAACTCCAATTTTTGCAGGGGAGAAGTCACCGAGCACGTGAACTATTTTGCTCCCGCTTTTATACGCACCTTGCAGCTTCCTTCCCCTGCGAAACTTCGTATAATGTATGCTATACGAACCGAACAGACGCGCGCCGCCCCCTTAAATAGATTTTGTCCGAAACTTCGCCTGTGTAAGCAATCAGTGCATGATTACGGATATTATTAGTGTTTGACGCTGGTCTAGCTCGCCGCCCAATTTGACCCATACCCTTTTCACCGAATTCGCTGATAACTGCCCATGATGATTGGCATCCACATCCACATTTCCTCCAGTGTCAGCATAGCCGCCTTCTGACCCAGTCGCACGCCGATTTTAGCCAAACAGCGTCAAGCGGAAAGGATTTCATCGCCTAAAAACGAACTCCTCATCCGTACGCAGCAGAGGAGCACTGAAAACTCCTATAGGTGGATTTTCCTCAAAAACAGCTTCTCCACCCTTCCTGGTGTTGTGTACTGCCTAGGCATGTGGGGTTAATAGTGGATAGTGCTGGTTATTTATCTTACTGATTTATTTTGAGAATGAAAATGCCTTTGTTACTATTTTCAACAGAAGAAATGACATAGTGATATGATTGACCAATGACGGTGCCCGTTGTCCTTATGAATTTGACAAGGGATTGTGATATTTGTCACATTATAAACAATCAAATTCTCGCTTGTGAGTCTTATTTTGATACGAGGCTTTTTGTACGGGAGATGTAAAACATCGGTAGTAGTGCAAGAGAGTGAAACGGTTTTTCAGCTCGTTGAATTGGTTCTACCGTAGTCCACGACGGGCAAGTCACATTCAATCGAAATTGTTTCGAAGCCCTATTGTCGCTTGCTTCTGCGCACCTCTGCCATTTGAAAATCGGCACCACGGTACGAAAACCTCCGCTATAACTAAAAATGAGCTAAGTTAAAAGCGTGTCCGTGTCGATACAAGGCCCGCAGCAGCCGCAGCTGGAGTGCCTCTCCTCTGGGAGCGGCGAAGTTCGACAGGCCACAGCGCTCGCAAGCGGCGACGAGCGAATGCCGCAAGAGTTTTGAAGGCTCTCCCTAAGTTGATAACACCTGGTCGGGCCCCATTTAAAGATCCTTTGTACCCGCTCGGATTCAATTGCGCCCCAGTGCTCAATAGCGCGCTCCAGTGCCAACATGGATTACGGTGGAGCCGTGAAGCTACTGTAACATGTGCAAGGAGACCTGTTCGAGCGAGCGACGGAGCGGTTAAGTGTCGAACCAATCAAATTTTGTAAATCACGTCACTATCTATTTATGTTAGTTTTAGCCAGTAGGATCGCCAGCTGACACCGGGCTCTCCAAGCTTCTGTACCATCAAACGCGTCTTTCTAGGCACGCAAAAGAACACTTCTGGCGTAACGACCTCAAATCACAAAATACACGACATAACCCTCCATTTTTTGGATGATGATCTCCAAAAAAAATTCAAAAGTCGATGTGAAAACCAGTGAAAGTTTAACGTTAGCACTATGAGACCGTGGGAGCAAGAAAAAGCGAGTGTTGGGAGATTACTATCGAATGCGTCAGCTTATATGGAAAACTTATTCAGGCAGGAGGGCGTACATGGAAGCTGAAAATGCGCTATTTGCGGAGCGGACAATTTGCAGCGAGTTTTGTAGCGCGCGAACGCGCTGCGTGTACTTCTGAAGCAGGGTCTGTCCTATCGTTGTTACTTTTCGAAAAATTTTTACGACCCCCCTCCCCCAACGTGGATTTGATACGACCCCCTTTTCCCTACCTCCACCATCTCCATCTTCCATCAAAACCCCCCGCCCAAAAATGCCGTCAGCGGGCGGGGGGAAGCGCGGATGGGATCTCCGAAAATTTCCTTCTATTTCCACCACTTCAACCCATTTCTTACCTATACTCCCACTACTTCCTCTTCTAGGGGGGGGGTACGACCCCCCTCCTACAAACTCAACCAGGTACGACTCCCCGTTGTTACTCGTAACAACGTAGGGTTGACCTGCTTCTGAGACATAGCTGCAGAGTGTGTATAATATTTGCATCTTTTGGCTGATAGGCGGATTTCTAGAGTTGATTTTGCACAATCGGATCTGCTTGGCACTGCTCATTAACCTTGCCATAACAATCAATGGGAGTCGCCTTAGCGTATCACTTTTTTGCCGGTAACACTTTGAGCAGAGTGTATAATTTACGATGGAAAAAGCAACCCATTCCATAAATTAACCTAAGGATGGTGAGTGGTACAAGAAAAAAGGAAAAACATGAAAAAAACGGCCAGAACCCGAGAAATGGGGCCCCTTTCCTTGCCCGTTGATTTCCGCACTTGCGACTTTCATCTTTGTGCCCTCTTCAACACTACGCTCTCTCGTCATCCAATCACTCGCTGACGGTACAGAACCCGCGAATGACTAGATATGGGTGGCTGCGCGCCAACTCGAGTAGCCATGCCCTAAATTGCGAGGTCGAATCGTGTCGCGCTGACAATTGCGTGTCAGTCCAAGGCCTCAGAAGGTCCGCCTGTCTCGCCGCGAAGTAATTCTCTCTACCTTCGACCTTCGTTCTTGTCGTGGAATCCTTCTTTGATGAAATTCTCAGCAAAATTATACGGGTTCAGCTGACACCTACAAATTGCAGGCCCACTTCTGGACTTATCGGCGATAACACTAAAATGAGACGGGATCATCTATTCTTCTTGCCATCCAGTGTCACGATCAGGGTTCACGCTCAAGGTCACAGACAGAACTCTGATGATCAGCGACCCTCACTTTGTTGTAATACGCCTGTAGTCTGGGGTACGGGTCATAATCGAAAATTGGCCAGCAAATGTAAAAAATAAAATAAAATAAAAAATAAATGAAAGCAAGTGCGAATCAATTTCAAAGTGACAAGCTCAACTCGGTTCATTTATTTCTTATATTGCCAAAACCCAGCCTTTCTTACAACACAAAAAAACAATCATCATGTACCTTCTGTTGTTTCAATGCAATCACCCCCTCCACACCCCCTACCACCGTACAATCCTAAAGGCCACGACCGGGGTCGAACTGATGTGTTATTGCGCCCATAAGGGGCAGTGGACATGTTGGAGTATTAAACCGCCATTAATGAAAAAAAAAACGGAGGAGGATCGTCGACAGAGACAAAAAAGCCTCTTCCCACGACGCGAGCGACGACAGCTCTTGTTACATTTGCATCGGGAGTACGTTACGGGCATGGTTAAATCCCAATCCTCAGCGCCTCAGCATCGGTAAGTCCTGGCGCGAGGTGAGTATACAGGGTGGGCAAAAATTACGGTAACAGGATAAAGTGTTCATGGAAGAGCAATTCGGCCAGCAAGACACACGTGGACCCCAACAATGTATTCATAGGAGGTCACCAGACAGAATACAACATCACTTCTTGGACTGGCCGCTGTTTGCGTTTATACCTGAATGAAGTCATCTCGGGAACGCATATGGCCTGTTGTGTAGGTAGGTGACATCGAGCTTACCCTAGGATCTTCTTTAATTCGTCGATGCTTTAGTGATACTCGTAGTAGCCCATCGTCTTCAGTAGACTCCACGGAAAATAACCCACTTGCTTTAACACGGGAAAATAAGGTGGCCCCTCGTTCAATGGCATGAATTCGGAAAATTCTGCAAAACCAATGTTGCACAATATTTGCTTTGTGCACAAGCGGTCTACCTTGCTGTTGTGTCTAGTGATTTCTCTCCGGGGTCTCTTCAACCAGGTGCATTTATTAGGTTCGAAGGAAATCGAGATGTTTGGTTAGCGCTCTTGTTACTGTAATTTTTGCCCACCCTGTATGCACGGAGCCTGACTTCTATTCCGTATTTCTCGTGCAGGAGCTCTATTTCACCCAGAGATCCCACACTCCACTCTAACGATAAGAGTTCCCTTTTGGATTCTTCAAACCTAGATCCGTCTCACACGTACATATGGATTGGTCCTTACCAAGCAATACTGACGTCTGCGGCTGGACGCGACAAGACAGGGCCATGAGGCTGGACGTCAGAACGGTGGTGCAGACGGCCATCCCTACCCTACTTAAAGTGCGAGAACACTTAAGAGGAGTAATACGGACATGTGCTGAGAAGGCCCCTGAATCAACCGTTAGGGAACAGGGACTCGAGAGCGCAAAAGGGCAACACAAGAAGCCTCAAGAAGAGTCATGAAGAAGCATCTATCTGAAGTCAAGGGTACGGGGGAAATGCGTTAGCGATTAAGTAATCAAGCGATTCGCAAAGTCTGACACCGGCCGAAGGTGCATCACCGAACCAGAAGAGTTTTCAAAGCCAGGAGGAGCCAGCGTTTCGGATTCCTCGCCAGGGAGAGCATCTTTCGCTATCTGGCGAAAGAGAAGTGTGCTGGGCAAAAGGAGAAGTGTTCTCCTCCTACCTAGAGTGACATTTTTCAGAGGAAGTGAGGCATAGTTGAGGCAGTGAACCGGTCAGAGCTGCGCGCCAAATCCCTCATTTGTAAGACTAGACATAGCCGATCATCGGTGAACGAAAACGAGCAAAGTTTCAACCAATTTCTGCTGATAGCGCGACCAATCCGACGCGACGCTGAACTTAAAAGGTGCTTATTGCAAATCCCTAGTCCCTTTAAAACCTGCAGGTAGACGACCTCTGCTTCACTTCTGGCCACGATGCGGTTCGTTCCCCTTTTCGTGCTCGTCTCCATTGTTCTGTCTGCTCC